GGAAACAAGCAGTTCAGTACTCTAAAACCAGCTGTGTGACTTCCCACACTAGTCTAGAAAAAACAAGATAACAAAAATGGCTGACATTAGTGATGCATCTGCTTCACATTTTAATGTATAATAAGAAGTACATTGAAGTACACACTTCATATAAACACATAACATTCTCTTTCACAGAACTCAACCAATTTTTTTTTTACATAGTACTCCCACTGGTAGATAAGATTCAAGTTCAAGTTGATTTTATTTATACAGCACATTTTATAACTGCCACTGACTAAGTGCTTTAAAGAACTACAAAAATAAAAAAAAAAATTAAGAGAGCTAGACCAACTGCAATTCTTCCTTCTATCTATCCCGACATAGGCTACGTTCAGATTGTCAGCCCAAAAAAGCACATGAATCCGTTCAAATACATCCATATGTGTTTAAAATTCCTATTCAAATACCGGGACATATGCTCAGTCTGAACGATCGGATTTCGGGTGGTGTGTGACTCTCACGCCACATAAAATGAGATGGTGCTCGATGCAGAGCCAACTCTTGCTAACTAACAGAGTATTTATTTTATTTTATTTGTGTTCAATAAAAATCAAGCTGGCACTGAAATATGTTGCTTTTGAAATCATGCCGAGTGCTCGGAAGTTAACCTGCGCGTGCGCGGTGAAGCTGGAGCTCCAGCGAGGGGAGGAACTGGAGCTCCAGCGAGGGGAGGAGCTAGAGCTCCAGCTCCTCCCATTTGGCTCTGCATCGAGGACCACTTGCCAAAATCTGCCGCGCGTTTTGCACTGTAGCAGTCGCGCCATCATCAAAAATGTATTGCGCGTCTACACGAGCTTGCGTGGTAGGCGAAAGTCTATATTTATATTTAAAAAATATATATACAAAAAAATAATTGTTTTCTACAAACTCCAACAGTTTTTTGTTCTTCTTGATCTTTTTGACTTCCTGTGAAGATTTTCATGTTACTGTTTAATTCTTTAATAATTGTGTAAAAAAAACAACAACTGCAAATATCTAAATGACTTTTTGTGTGCATGGGGCAAAAAAAAGTTCCCTATAACCTGATGGACAGTTATTTTTTTTACAATTTGTGCGCAAAACCGTGCCAACTGTGTAAGCGCCGAAAAAATGAAAGTCATTAAAATACCAATCTTATTTATTTGACATGGTGCTCGATGCAGAGCCACATTGGAGGAGCTAGAGCTCAAAAATATTATATTTTTAGGCCAAACCGTTCGTGTCTATCAATGAGGGTCTATGGTCACGACCACCTCAAAGAGCATGCACAGAGAAGTCAAAATTAAACATGATTTAATGACTCGTAAATGTAAGTACACATTGATGGCCTAAGTCACGAAATGAGCAGTTTGTCTGATGAGTGAATGTGTAAATCAATGTTCTTCTGATGTTTGTTTGCATGTTACATTATGAATCCAGATATATTTATATTCTCACAATGGAGAAAAAAAACCCCACAAAACTTTTCACTGCCCTTTGTGTTGTGTAATTTTATTTGGTTTATAATTTAATGATCTGTTCATTTCTTCTTCAGGTGCTGAAAAAGTGTCAATGATGGAGGGAGATTCTGTCACTCTATACACTGGTGTTCAAACAAAACAACAAGAAGACATTAAATGGTATTTTAAAGACACTCGCATCGCGCACATCACTGGAGATCTCAGTAAGATTTGTACAGATGTTCAGTGTAATGGAGACACTGAGAGATTCAGAGACAGACTGAAGCTGGATCATCAGACTGGATCTCTGACCATCACACACACCACAAACAAACACTCTGGACCTTATCAACTAAAGATCTTCAGCAGCAGTAATAGCTTTGAAAAGATCTTCAGTGTCACCAGTCAGGGTGAGTCATTTAATATATGAACCTGTTTAATACTATACTTTTACTATAAAAAAAGATGGACAACGCAACTTCACTCTCTTCCATCATAGAGAAGTGAAGCCGCCAAAGTCCAAATATGGCGCTGACATCTGGTGAGTGTGAAGTGGAGCCGCGATATCAAGGCCCAGTCCTCCTCACTCCCGCAGAAACGGTTAGTTTACTGCAGAACAACTCATGTCGGTGTGAAATTAACAGTTATGGGAATATAGACGTTAAAGTTAAAGCACCAATCTTCTCCTGAAAACCTCGAAAATAGTCTGTCAGTGAGAACTTAATCTCAGCATAATGTCACACTCCTGTTTTTATAGCATCAAATAGCTAAAACCAAACTTTTATAAAAACGAACACTTATCTCTAACACCAGTGTGATTGAAAACTACTTTAAATGACAGAAATTTATTTGTCTCGTGTCCCCACTCCAATCACATGGAGAGACCTTAGTTTGTCGGGATCGAGATTGTTGTTAGATCGAGACGCTTTGGCTTCACTTTTCAGAACTTGTGGCACACTAGATTTAAAAGCGCTTATATATGTTTAAAGGGATAGTTCATTCAAAAATTAAAATTAGCCAATTATTTACTCACCCTGAAGCCATCCTAGTTGTACATGAGATTCTTCTTTCAGATGAGACGTACAATCAGTTATCTTAAAAAATGTCCTGGCTCTTCCAAGCTTTATAATGTCAGTGATTTGCTGTTTCTGAAGTCGATAAAAGTGCGTCCATTCACAATAAAAGTGCTTAATAAAGCCCTTCTGAAGCAAAGCAATGCAACAATAGATATGAAATGATGCTTTTATCTTTATATCTTTGACATTTTGTGTATTTTTGGCATACATATCCTTTAATCATCTGTTGGTTTGTGTTTCAGATGTTCCTGCTTCAGAACGAGATGAAATGAAGAGAAAGTCAGTGATGGAGGGAGAATCTGTCACTTTAGATCCTGCTGTAAATAAAAACCCAAATGATGTGATGATGTGGTATTATAATGACACTCGTTTAGCTGAAATCACTGGAGAACCCAGTAAGATCTGTACAGATGTTCACAGTGATGAGAGATTCAGAGACAGACTGAAGCTGGATCATCAGACTGGATCTCTGACCATCACACACACCACAAACACACACTCTGGGGAATATACACTACAGATCAACAGCAGCAGCTTCAGCATCAAAAGGAGTTTCACTGTTTCTGTCACGGGTGAGTACACTTAAAATATAAAATCAACCAAGAAAATGTTTTCTTTGTGGAATGTGAGTTTATTTTTGTATTAATATTTTTTTTTAATTTAGTTATTGGATAGGGACAATGCACTAAAATAGATGTAAACATGCCGGATTATACCCACCAGGTTAATTTACACCTGCAGTCCCTATAGACAAATTACAGAAATACAAAAAAAATATAACATACAAAATGACAAATGTAATAAATACAAAAAAAAATAACTTAATGGTCAGAAGACTGTGAAAGAAAGTAAGGTTTGACTTAGGAATTGTCCTACCAACCAACACATGCTGTTCACAAGATTAATGTCATTAACATGAGCAAATTGAGTCAGTGTTTCTGAGCTCCTGGTGATCTCTCAGTGCTGTGATGCTGTTTTAGCTGCTGTTCTTCAACATCCCACCAGATGGAGCCATTTATCAATTTAATCGATATCATTCACCTGATGACCACAGCAGAAAAGTGTAAAGATGAGAAAGACATTAGTAAAATTGATTGAGTCACTCTTAGTCTGTTGAATAATAATGTCTGTCTGTCTGTCGGTAGATGTTCCAGATTCAGGTCTGTCTTCAGGAGCTGTTGTAGGAATATGTGTTGCTGTTGGTGTTATTCTACTGCTGCTGGCTCCTGTGATTTATTGGAAGCGAAGAAGTAAAGGTGAGTATTATTTAAATGATGGGAAGTCTGATCTGTATCTGTGAGGTTTCAGGCAGTTCTTAGACATGTTACAATGGTAGACACTGTAAACAGAATGTGTGAATTTGGGACTTTAAATGAATAATTTCTTTATTATTACAATAAGAAGAACAAATGCAATGAAATGATAAAAATAGAGATAAGTTTAGAAAGCAGGAAGCTCATGGTGTCAGGATTCAAGGCTACTGTCAAGCAAGATGTTTTTAAAGGTTTAAAGGGGGTGTGACTGAAAAAAGTACAAATATCAAAAAGGTTTTAAATCATGGCAATATCTACTATTGTTCTGGTGCCGGAGAAGCTCGTCTGGTTGGTCACGACATGGTATCGTTGTCCCTGTCATTCATCTTGAGTCTGAGTGACTGTCGGGCACATCCGAAACAATTCAGTATAAAGGAGTAGTTCACTTTTAAAAAAAAACTTTTGCTGATAATTTTCTCAACCCCATGTCATCTAAGATATCCATGTCTTTCTTTCTTCAGTTGATAAGAAATTAAGGATTTTTCTCCATATAATGGACTTCAATGGGAACCAAACGGTTCAAGGTCCAAAAGACAGTTTCAGTGCAACCTGTTCAAAGGGCTTTAAACGATTCCAGACCAAGAATAATTTTTTTAATAATTTGTGCTTTTAAAACGTTAACTTTGTTATTTATTTATTAAATGAGCGATCGTTTCGCTTGATAAGACCCTTTTTCATCGTCTGGAATCGTTTAAAGCCCTTTGAACAGTTTGCACTGAAACTGTCTTTTGAACCTTGAACCGTTTGGTTCCCATTGAAGTTCATTATATGGAGAAAAATCCTGGAATGTTTCGACTGAAGAAAGAATGACATGGATATCTTAGATGACATGGGGGTGAGTAAATTATCAGCAAAAGTTTTTTTTAAAAGTGAACTACTCCTTTAAATAACATGCATCAGTGCTGACAATTCAAGCTCATCCAGAACTGGGTCAGAACAATGATTTGTTTGCGAACAATATGGAAATTGTGTGTAAATAATTTATAAAGATTATTCTAAATAACAATAGTAATGTGTGTTTAATTGAGTTTTTTTCTTGTTCAAACAGACACCGGAATACGGCGCAGTGATCGGGTAAGAGACCGTATGCACTGAAATTGACTACACAAATCAGATTCAGATCTGCAAATTTGCAGTTTTATTTGGTTAGATTCAGAAATTATTACATTAAACCAATAATAACTTGAATCTTCAGGACAATGTGTTTAATATTTAGGAAAAGAAAACCAACATAGGCCTACGTTCTGCAAAAATCAAAAGGAATGCACAATTACAGTTCATCGTCTCTGGTATTTTTTTTTTATGTGTAACTGAACTAGTGTTAATTTCTGTCACCTTCTTACAGGCGAATGGTGTTAACTGCCTGATGAGTGATTCCAGTCACACGTCCTCTACTCAGACTGAACAGATTTAGGGTGAACATAACCAATGGCTTGTCTCTGAATAAGGTTGAGATTGAGCTTGAATCTCGCCGGGCGACATCAATGAAACATGAATTATTGAAGAATGTGAAGAGGAGATGGGGAAACGAGAGGTTTTTGTTTCATTTTTATTTTAAATCGTTTTCAAGATATCAAGATTTCAGTAGTTTGTACCAATTTATTGGCAAAACAAAGTTAACTAATAATTTAACCCCAAAACCGTATTCTGGACAAATGTGCGCAAAATAGTTTTGATCAATTTTTAAAAAAAATACTTCCCTTGATCTAAGCGGTACAAGACTTGGCTACTTTTCCTATGTTTGCCTCCTGAACACACACAATTTTTTAATTTTTTTTGACTCAATTCTACAATGTTAAGTGGGTGAAAAAAACCCCCACAAAAAAACAAAAAAAACCTCCTTAATCTTGTATTTGGGTCAAATGGGCACCCATAGAAATGAATGGGAAAAACTGTAATTTAGAGCATACTAAAATAAGCCAAAATAAGACACCAGGTGATGGCAAAGTCACTACATCTTTAGGTTTTAGCACTAAGAACTTATTGGAATGACATTTTAATGTAGTTAAAAAAATAAAAATTAAAAAAAAAAAAAAAATAAATAAACAAAATAAGCATAATTTACATAGAAAATATGGTACTTTTTGAAGTAAATAAATTCAAAAATACCCCCAAAATAATAAAAAAATATCATAAATGGATAGGAAAAACTTTATCGAAGACAGTGATATAACAGTTATAATAAATACAAATTAGGATCACACCTGAGTCCTCTGTGTCCACAATTACAGGATTAAGGGCTATAAAGTGAATACGGTTTGAGGGCTACAAGATTTGTCTTCCCTGGCCACTTCTAAATAGCTTTCCAAATTCTAACATTGTTTATTTATAAAACTTATTCTGATGAATAATCCTAAAAGTATGCTAAATGTCTAAGGCCCTGCTCACATATCGCATCTTTTGCGCGCTGAAGTCCTTTATTTCAAATGTATGTGCGCTCATAATGGAAGCGACACGGTTTCGGTGTGACTAGCTCGTTTTTTTTTTTCAAACGTGTCCGCGCTGAATCGAGATAAAAAACATCTTTCAAAATGCCGCAAGCGCACCGTAGGTCACATGACAAATGAACTGCAGCGCGATCACCCTAGCGCTTTGGAAAAAGGAGAACGTGTGGGGGGTTTTGCCAATATATGTGAATCCGGCCTAAGAGGACACGCTAACTTTTCTCAAACCTGGTTCAAACGATCAGAGTCATCTGTATGACAGATAAAACTAATTGTATTCACTGTTTTGTTTTTTGTTTTTTTGTTTCATCTTTCACTCTATAAGACCCAATCATCCATGTGGGAAAATAGTGCCAGTATTTTCTCAATTGAAATCACGTCCCAGTGGAAGTGAGGGTACACTACAGGTATAAAATATACCAGTCCACTTCAAGCACTGATTAGACCTAATAATGCACTGAAAGACTGCTTTTGTCCCATTTGGGTATGTTAAGTTAGAATCGTCTGTTTACATGAAAATATTGCCAAGATGGACACAGTTGCTACACCTGCTCTTCACAGAAAAGAGCTTGGGCACAAATGTGTGCTTTTCTAAGACCACTGTGAATCAAAAAACAAGTGTTCAGGCACTGAATTGAGTCTTTGCTCCATAAATACTGTAAGTGTTACTGGTATTATTGGTGTTAATTGGGTGTTCATTGAAAAAAATTAATATCATATAGCAAACTACAAAAATCGTAACCTTTAAAAAGCTCAGGTTAAAGGTTTTCAAAACTTTTGACAGCATGAGATCCCACCCTTCCTTCAGAGCTTCTCCTAAGCCACGCCTCCAACCGCACCGCTCCGATTATTACGTCACTGGTTTCCTTCCAATCTACAGCAGTCATGGTGTATAAGTGCGGTATAAGCTGGTTTTGGTTCAGGAGGAACTGTATAAGGCAGCTGTCTAACTCTACATACCACTGATGACATATGATGTGCGAGGAGATAGTATATCTATCTACATATCAACTTTTTTATAAACAGACATTTGTATTTCCATACGTTTTTATATTTATACTTTTTATACAAGTTTTTTTATATATACGAACATTTTATATAAGTGTTCATACTTTAGCTCTGCATTTACACTGCCAAAGTTCAATATCTACAGGTCTTGAGGCCCACTCTGACGTGTGTGTGTGTGTGTGTGTGTTATGTTATGTCATACACATAATTATCTTGCTCCGTCCATGCAATAAATGCAAGTTTTTAAATAAGCAAGAGTTTCTACTGGATTTCACTGCTACCAGTGGATGACACGTTAATGATACAGACACACATGTATGACCCATTTACGTGGTGGCTAACTGACACATTAAAATCAGTTACCAAACCGCAAATCTGATCAAATCTGTTTTTGTTTTTTTTGTTGTTGTTGTTGTTTTGTTTTTATTTATGATTTGGGTCGTTGATTAAAACAACCCGTACACTATTTGTGTCTAAACTCTGATTGGGTGGGCAAGGCCAGACTGATCTCATGAAGTAGCGTGTGTATGACACGCCAATTCGTATTTCCATTTTCGGCGTGCTATCAAGACGCATAATCGCTTTTCAGCGTGTTTATGAACGCCGTTGACTTAACGATATTACTGTTTGTATAAATATATGACTTACCTGTCCTTAACCCCGTCCCTAAACCTACCCGTCACTGGTTAATACCATTTATGACTGGACATTTGATGGCGTGTACAGACGCGTGGAATCACTTGGACATAAATGGCGTAGACATACACGCGGATTGCTCAAAATGCGTATAGATGACACGCCACTTGACTCGAAAGTGGCGTGTATGTTTACGCTAAAGTCATGATGTCATGTTGGCAAGGCAGATGTTTGTCGAGGCTCAGCCCACCCGTGACTAGATCCCGCCCCATAGGACATCAAATGCAATGATTGGACGAACATTTGATGGTAACGCTTCCTTTTACCCATGTAAATACTATGTACTTATTTTAGTAACTACAATTACTGGGTAATAACTAGTACTAACCCTAAAGCTACTACTGTTCCATGTACTTGCCTTATAGACCATTTCACAAGATGTAAACAACACTGGTCCAGAAGCACTTCCTGTTTCAGTTTTTTAACACTACATAAAAGCTGGGATAAAATACAACCAACAGAACATATAAAACTGAATTAAAAAATTAAACAAACATCTTTAAGATGTTTTCTTTACATGTGAAATAAAGAAAACAGTTACAAACTGAAACAGGAAGTGTTTCTGGACCAGTGTTGTTTACATCTTGTGAAATGGTCTATATTAGCCAGTACTTTCTAGGTAAGTACACTGTAAGTACTGTACTGTAAAAGGAAGCGTTACCCATTTGATTTTATAGTCATATGCCTTCCACAATCAATACATCAATTAGAGCACTTCAAGAGACTTTCAATAAGCATACCAGAAATGTTTCTGGAACAAATCGGCCGTTAACTATTTTCACTTTGAGTGTTTTATTCGACGCCTTTAAGGAATGCATAAATGAAACGGCCGTGTTTGAATGTTGTTTCTCAGTGGATGATGGCACATGAAACGCCTAATGCCTTCTCAATTTGCACACAAATGTGATGCATGATAGTAAAAACATGTGTAGTAATTTTGTATGGTCTTTGTACAGTTTTATATCTTTGTTGAAATGAGTGAAAATGAATTATAGTGAAACTAATCCTTAAAATAAATTGCAATCAAAACATGTGATAATTTAAGTGCTGCTGATCAGGTTCACACTGCCAACCTTTTTCGATTATTGCGCGTCCCCCGTGTGATTTAAGTTATCTGATTACTGTTATTGTTTATTATAATACTAGCATTTTTAAATGACAATTTTGTTTGTAAATTGTCAATTGGAAATTTTAAATGCTGTATTTCAGATTTTTTTGTATGACGTACTTGCTGGGTGATGGAAAATTTGCCTTTTTTGCCATTTAAATAGTCTGACTGTTCTGTCTAGTCTCTCACACCTTGTTCTTAGACAGAGTGCCTCTAAATCCTGTTATATCCTAATATCATCCACTTAATAATATTGAATATTGTCATTTTTCTGAAGTTTGTATCTTTGCATGACCATGTGATATGACATTAAAACATCTGGTTGACTCAATAGCAGAAATCTGAATTTGTCATGATTTTTCTTTTTTATTATTTGTATTCGGAAATAACTGAACAAAGTAACACTTTAGTAGAGTGATCGTTGTGTGTCTGTACATTCTAGAATATGATTTTAACTCTGATTGGATTAAAGCTGAACATTTTCAGTCCTTAAAACTGAATTTAGTGTTTTGACACTAAAGGAGATTTCAGTAACAGCAGAAGTAAAACATCATGAGAAATGGAAAAACACCTTCAGCCACATTTTATTCACACAGACACAAAACTGACACCTTTAAACTCAAACATTCAGCACACACACTTTCTCATGCAGAGTCTAGGTCAAACCACATTTCACAGAATGAAGCATCCTTCACTTTTACTTGTTCTCATGACTATTTTACATTTTTAGTTTGGAGATATACATGGTCTTTTTTCACTTTTATATACGACAAACATATTTTATTTTACCTTTATGCAAATACAAACATTGATCAATGCACATATATAGAGCTCATCAAATGTGGTAAACCGAAGCTCAAATGTGCACGCTTGATGCATACGAACCAGTGTGGTTTGTTCTGGCATTTTAGAGATATTTTTAATTTTTATTAGCTTGAAAATAGTCTTCAATAGATGGGCAAAAGCATACGAATATTGAAAATATCTTCATTTATGATCCGAAAATGAACAATGGTCTCATAGTTTTTGAATGACATGCGTGTGAGTAAATGATTTTAGGGTCAACCATCCTGAGAATCAAACATAAAAATACTTCAATGCATCTAATAATTTATTAAACAATGTATTGCATTCATTTGAGGTTTTAAGGAGATTCATCAAACTCAAAATAAAAGTCTAACCCTTTTTGGTAACACTTTACTTGAAGGGGTGTGCATAAGACTGACATGACACCTTTATAATAATGACTCAATGCATGTCATGAATATGAATGAGGTTTATGCAAAACATATGTCATGTCATGATTATGAAGGTGTTAGTCACACCCCTTTAAGCACAGTGTTACCCTTTTGGTAAATACACATATAATTTATTTATCATTATTTTATTTCTTTGTCAGAATTCTTGCTACATGTGATGACTCTTACCAATCCAACATTTCAACTGTAGACTTTGAATCTGAGGTTGTTTCGAGAGTTTTTAAATGACGGGATCAAACGGCAGGATTTGGGACTGAAGTTTGATCATCTCACGGTGACATCAGCATAAACCACATGACCCTCCTCTTCAACTTTCTGTGAAAAATATCACACAAGTTATAATTTTTTACATGTTAACAATGTGGCAACCTGAAAATTGATTGACAGAAAGTAGCAAAATTATTCAATTATTGAGTAATATTACACTGTAGGCTATTAATACTTTGGAGTAGTAAAATGTGCCCTTAAGGTATGTGTGCTCTTATGACACTGCTATGAACCCTTCAGGGGAAAATAAGGTACAGATCCCTTTGAGGGCCCTGTCCCAGTTCTGATAGTGTACCATAATAAACTGCATAGGCGTAAAACTATGCATTATACTGTATTAGTAAGCTGAAAAATTGGTAATTTTGTTAATACATTAATAACAACAGCAGCTGTGTGATTCTCTGACTACTAAATATGTAATAGCCTATATTAAAGTAATCCCAAACTGGACACAAAAATATGATCTAATACATGAATTTTCTTAAACAACATTTAATCTTTGATAGAAAAAGAGGACAGTGTGAACACTGGTGTCATAAAGCAGGTTTGATGGTCATTGATTTAAAAAGCACATTTTCTCATGAACTGTCGTACAAATGAGCAGAAATTTGTCCATCATTGTGACTTTCATTTCCTGAAGGGATTTTCTGTTAGATGATTTAATGTAGTGAGTTTCTGCTAAAATAAACACCGTTCACTGAACACCATGTTCACAAAATACACCGAAGGTAACAGTAATTTTGGGACTACTTGAATCATCAGATTTTTCACCTGCACAGCACTTTTCTAGTCCTCTTACTTTATATCTTACCGGTTTGTGTCGATTTTTTACTTTGTAGAAGGTTGTCTCTGCATACGTTATTTCTTCATCACGAGCCTGAACTGTTTATAGAATAATAAGATAACAAAACTCAATCTCAAATCGATGTTTTTTTTCCCAGTATATTCTATTAATAAGCCTCAAATGTAATCATTTTACAATGCAATTATTAATCACATGCAATTAATGAATGCCATACTTGATACGTTTTTACTTTTCCTGCAGATGCAGAAGATCCCAAGGACTATAGCAACCATGAACAGAGATCCAGCCGAGATCAACACTAGAGATACTGGAGGAGGAGTGTGTGTGTCTGCTTCTGTAATGATGAAGAAAGAAGTGAACAGAGATCAGGTCAGTAAACACACACACACACACACATATATCTGATGAGTGGTGGTGTACCTGCACATGTGTGTCTGCAGAGTGTGTTGATGTCCAGATGTGTGGTCTGGTTGCTGATGGGATTGTTCAGCACACAGCTGTAGGTGTTTTTATCCTGATATTCCACCTCCAGAGGTAGAGAGAGACTGATGCTGAGATCACACACACTGATGCTGGACAATACACTCATTCCTGCGTACCAGGACAGAGTCGCATCACACACACTCAACACTGATGATGAACACACCACTGAACAATTTGATGATGATGAAGAACAGTGTGAAGAGTTACTGATGATGACAGGAACAGGCAGACGAGCTGAGAAACATGAGAGAATAAATTGGAATATCTATTCAGTGTGTTGAGTGTTGTGACGATAGTGTGTTTATGTACAGTATATGTGAACGATTGGACAAATTATCTCTACTCACCATAGACAGAAACATTTAATCTTATCGATGTAATTTTTGCTTCATTTATCTCTAGTTCATAAACTCCAGTGTGTTCAGTTGTGGTGTGTGTGATGGTCAGAGATCCAGTTTGATTATCCAGCTTCAGTCTGTCTCTGAATCTCCCATCAGGACCAACATATGAAATACAGATTGGTTTCTTTATTAGGATTTTAGCTATCAAAGAGTTGTTAGCTCCAAATTTCAACCGTATGTCGCCGTTTTGTGGTATTTCGGTAACATTATTGTGTAGAAGGACAGAATCTCCCTCCATCACTGACACTGACTGTATTTCATATGTTGTGGCCCAGAACACACCTGGAGAACAGGAATAGATTAAAGCTCCTCATTTGTTTACAAAGCATTAATTAGATTTAATTGTTTAAATATGAACTGATGAACTGAAGAACATCCAGAACAGCAAAAAACACAAAAGCAAAGTAAAAGGTGAGTTTTTTTTTTAAATAGATATGAACCAGAAATTTTTATCTTTAATATATTTTAAACATATCAAAAGATGCCTGAGTTTTGAAAGTGTTAAACGTTGATAAAGCTAATTGTCTGAGATTTTAACATTCACCTTGTAGATGATACAAATAATGTGTTTACTAAAAACGTGCTTACTAAATCGTATGCGGTAAATAAAAAAAATTCACTTGACCCACTCATCATTTTATTTTTTTCATTTTAGATTAAATTATTGTATATTGCCAGAAAGAAACCAATCCTACCGATATAGATATTCTACCGCAAAGTGATGATGTCACTGTTCACTAGCTTGTAACGTGCATACTTCGTACTGCTGAAATTCACCATACTGCGCAAATCATGTCTCAGCTTCTTAGTGTACCCAAACACACAACTAGAGGAAATGATGAGCATTTGCCCCATTTTCGCTAGTACATTAGAAACTGTTGCACCCTTTAGATTAAAAAAGGTCAGAGAGAAAAGTACTGCACCATGGTACAACAGTATTACTCACGCTATCAAGAGAAAAACTCGTAATCTAGAGCGCAAATGGAAACAAACTCAGGTCTTGAGAATCGCGTGCAAGACACTTCCCGTTACATATAGAGGCTTTTAAAGAAGCCAGGGCTGAGACTATAGATCATAACATAGTCTTAGCCCTATTACAAAGTACACTGGTATTCATGTACTGCCATTACGATGGTTTAGATTGTATCTATCAGATCGTTACCGTTTTTGTTTATTTAAATGGAGAATAATCCAAGTATTGTTCGGTGAATTATGGAGTGCCACAAGGATCGGTGTTAGGCCTCTTATATAGGCCTGTTAGGCTGCCTCTTGGTAATATAGAAAACATTAAATAATTTCCACACTTAAACAGATGATTCTCAGTTATATATTTCATCACAACCAGATGAATCTTCTGACAGAGATATAAAATATTCGATGACATGTGATTTTCATAATTAAATTCAGATAAGACTAACGTATTACTACTACCAAACACATGTACACAGAACCTACAATTAGCATTTGAAAGGATGTGCTGTAACCTCATCCTCTAAAGACCTGGGTGTTATATAAGACAGGAACTTGTCTTTTGAAGATCATCATATGTTACAAACACAACACAGCCTTCTTCGACCACAGAAAAAATCGAAGGTCCAGTTCATGCTATCTGTTTCTGATGGAGAAAAGTTTGTTCATGCATTCGTGACCTCGAGACTAGATTACTGTAATGCGTTAGCTGGAAGTCTTGTATCCTCACTAAATATATATTTATATAATTAGTCTCTTGTAATTTGATAATCTTACAAAAAAAAATAGATTAATGAGTTAGGTCAAAAGTAATTAAAAGTAAGCTCCTCCGATTTAGCTCCTGTGTATTTAATCAATCTTCTATCACACTCTTTAAGGTCACAAAACTCTGGGCTTCTGATAGTACCAAGGATCTCTAAGTCCTCTAAAGGAGGGAAAGCATTTCAAATTTGGTTCATAAGCTTTGGAAAAGCCTTCCTGATAATGTTCGGTGCTCAGACTCATTCTCCCAGTTTAAATCTATATTAAATGCGCATCTCATTTCATTAACCGAGCTTTCATAATGCATCTCATAACCCTATATAATATATTATACCAAATCAAATGCACATGATTATCCTTTCTTAATGATATGAACAGCAGATATGCTAATTATTTGCTTTTATGTCTTTTCCTCGGGATGCACCACTGCCAACTTTTCTATAGTGTGATCATTTTGATTACGCATTTAGCTTCTATAAAACTATATAAAACCGCAATGTAAATAAATGTGAATTGCGAGTTCAACAAAGGTTTTGGACTTTTAAGCAAAATTATCAGTCACAAAGGATTTGAAATTCTAATGAAAACAGAGACTGATATTCAAAGTAAGTAAATTATATTTATTTATCTAAATGACAATAGAAAATAATGTTAAATGAGCAGCAGCATACTTTATTGCCCTGAAATGGGAAATATTACACTATAAAAATGATTTAAAAACTTACCCATCAGACTCCAGCAGCTCAAACACAACAAAACTAACTTGTGAAGCATTTTTTTTAAAATGGTTCAGTCTGATAAACTCCCACCCTGTTGTGTGTGTGTGTGTGTGTGTGTTGGTGTGAGTCCTCCCCCAACAGAGTCTGACGCTCTTAGTTCACATTTTCTGAACGTGTTATGAATATATATATAGGTAGTAACTGATGACATCTGGATTACGTAATCAGATATATATATATTTTTTTAAATTACGTCATTCTCAAAATTGCTGTAAATTACTGATTTCTCATTGAATCCTTCTAATAATTTTTTTTTTTTAATTTTTAAATTGTCCATGCTATAAACGCGTATACTTCAGAAGAGGAAATGCACACATAGACCCGCCAATAGTCATGTGACTATCACTGAAAACTGAGACCCAAAGGATTTGATCACTGGATTCACGGAAATAGTTTTAAACAAGTGTCTTCTTATCATTGCAACACTGCATGTCTAATCACATGACAAAAACATTAAGCTAATCAATATGGCACAAGATTATCTTACCAAAAAAATTGGATTAAGGAGTTAGGTCAATAGTAATTAAAAGTAATTAAGTCAGACTAAATTACCTTAAATGTGTAGTGTAATGGATTATTTTACTTACTATAATTGTTGTATCTCGGTAGTCGACTACGAATTGTAAATAGGCTAATCTACCTATATGTGTATGTGTATATATATGTGTGTGTGTGTGTGTGTGTATATATAAACGTTTAACATTCACTTTTTTGGAAAACTAGTTGTCTATGTCAAAATAGAAAAAACATTGTGTTAAAAAAAATATCTAACTTTAGTGATAAAAAAGGTGTTTGGAAAACCCAAAGTACAAAGTGAAAAGTTTGTGCATCTCACATTACACACTGTAGTTCAGCTTGTGAGTCAGACTGAAACTGCTGTGGTCAGGTCTCTTCAGAAACGTGGTTTGATCTGCATGGTGGACAAACATCTTGTGTGTGTGTGTGTGAGTGTGTGTGTGAGAAAACTGCCATTCAGAGCATGTAGTTTGTATGTGAAGGGCCACATTTCCAGGTCATGTTAAGATAAAAACAGAGTATTTTTTTAGCTGAGTTTCTGGATGCTGTGAGATTTTTTTTTACCATTAAATTAACTTTAAGGGACATTAACTTATTAGCGTAATCAAAAGTTGTGATATGAGGAGCAACAGTAAATTAAAATAATAGTTAATAATCTTTAACTGAAAATTACTTTGTCTGTGAGTAAAATAAATGGAGTGGTTTGAGTGGGACGAGCCTTGTAGTGTTTCACTGTACGGAGCAGTAAGAGGAAATGACGTCAAACATCCACTGCGAATCACATGATCTTTTAAACGGTTCAGTGATCAAACAGGCACAATTGTGACTCACTGCTTGAGAGGTAGACAGAAGTTTATCTGACGGCAAGATCGTCATCCAGTCAGCTCGTCGGGAGCAGCTGTGGTTCGGAGTCTCTCTCTCTCTCTCTCTCTCTCTCTCTCTCTCTCTCTCATTCTCACTCACACACACACGTACAGCTGCTGGAGTTATAGGTGTCTGGCTCATGGACACCTCGACACTTGATCAGGTGGAACCGGTAATAATACCATTATTTTAAATACAAACATGTTTAATTAATGTTTTGGTGTGAGAAATATATTGCAATCAAACAGGTTCCCCATGGTGTAAATGAATCCTACCCGTGTCTGATTAATTATTAATGATAATTCAGCACATTTTAATTTTGTTTATAGAATTTATTAAATGGTGTTTAGTATGATGTACAAATTTAATTTCCACTTTTTGTTTTATTAATTAAATGTTTTAATATTACAGTGTAGTATAGTCTAGGTCAGAAGGAAATTTATTTTCACATCTTATATTTGATATTGTCCTGGATTAATGTAAAAATAAAACCCATTTAACCACACAAACCTGGATCCCTTGGCTTGCTATTTCAGTAAACACATTTTTTATACCACTGTATAGAGCGCCATCTTAGGGTCAAAATAAGACTTCACTTTTGGAAGAATAACATCTCTACCTTTGACCGATAGAGGGCGCTATAATAAGATCTCAACCGCAGATAATGATCCGATAATAAACACTGTAAATCTGTGACACTCTGAGATTTTATATTTGAGTGTGTTTTGCTCTATGATTCCTGAGCTGTCTGAATCATATTGATTCACACTGCATTGCTAACACAGTTAAGTAGGGTATTCGTGTGTGTGTGTGTGTGTTAGCAATTTATACTATTTTATATCACTCACTATTCAATTCTGTATTTTTATTATTAATTTTTGGCAATTCTTTAGTTGTTTAATAATAATTCTTTAGTTGTTGTAATTGCTACATTGTAATCAAAAAATAGAATTACAAGTAATATTCACAAACTGTATCCTTTTGTGTATATATTGCACGTAAATATTAGTTACCATATAAATGTGAATGCATGTTCACACAGACACACATTCAATACGAAAAGCAACAATTCCTTATGTAGACCTATTATTCAATATTGGCCTATTATTCTGTATATTTTCAAATTTAAACCATTTAATATATTGATCATTCAAATACAGGGAAATATATTTTCTTTTCATAATAGTACCGAACAAGAAAAAAAGCAAGCAGCAAATGAGATCAATGTTTTATGAAACATAGATATACAGTTGCATGTGATAAACTAAAAATAGATCATTTTAGTTGAGATTCTGGATTTGATGCTTTCGCATTTGCAAAAAAAAAAAAAAATGTAAAAAATAAAAATGTTGCAATACGAAGAGCAAAAACAAAACAGAGATGGAACATTTACATTCATTTAGCTGACGCTTTTATCCAAAGCGACTTACAATTGCTATATATGTCAGAGGTCGCCTCTGGAGCAACTAGGGGTTAAGTGCAACTCAGGGACACATTGGTGTCTCACAGTGGATTCGAACCCGGGTCTCTCACACCAAAGGCATGTGTCTTGTGCAGTGATCATCGTTTTTTGCGGACATTTTCATACACAGCATCTGTCTTGGATTTCTGAAAGGAAACACAAATTCAATCAGGAACATGTGGATCTCAATGTGACTGTTTAATTAATTAATTTAGATATAATCCGGGTGAATTTTAATTGCAGATTAACCTTCACAACAAGATTTTAGTATTATTCTGTAAAAAGTTATTATTCTGTTTTTCAGGACTGTGATCCAACTAAGAGATTTTTAGAGAAACACTTTTGATATTTATAATCAGCCCAAACAAACACCCTCCCTTCATTGCTCCGCCCCCAAATGAACGAACACACATTTCTAAAGAGTAAATGTGTCATTAGGGATGTAAGTTTAGTCCCACTTAATAGTTAAAGCGGAGAAAACTAAGTAAAATATTTCACCATTCAGCAACTGCAGTAATATGCCAATGTATTATTTAAAGGGATCATCAAATGCAAAATTCAGATGCAGATGCAAATACTTGGTGCTTCCTCTATAAAGCAACCAACATCCGCTTTAAAGTGGTGAACCCGCATGTCAGTTCAGAGCGGTCAGGCCACACTTCAGCACAGGGAAAATGGACTTTTCAATGAACATCTAATGCTATAAAACTGACCTAATAGGTGTTGTTTTAGAATAACAAACCAATTATTATTGTTAAATCTGGTCACATATGGTTTTACAAAAAGATGATTTAACATTGCAGGCCACAGACCACATCACAGGCTGGCTATGGTGTAATGGTTTGTGCATGTACTGTATAATTAGTACAATCCATTAAAAATCCATCCATTAACTGACTGCAACGACTTCTTACCAGTTTCCGTGTTGTTGGTTTACACGATGCTGAATCCGGTCTGTCGTCCCACCGGGTCTGAACTGTGTTAACAATAATCACAGACATGCTGAAACAACAGAGCTTGAAATCTCCTATAAAATCTGTGTTTTTTATTTGTGAATTTGTGTAATTAATTAATATGTGTAACAACTGACCTGTTTTTCTACTTTTCTTGGAGATGCAGAAGATCACGACTATAACTACAATCATCAGAGATCCAGCAGAAGCAGAGATCAACACTATCAGAGACACCGGAGAGTGTGAAGGAGAGTGTGTGTCCGCTGTAATGATGAAAGAAGTGAACGCATCAGTGTGATCTAGAACAGAAGACAGAGATCAGGTCAGTAAACACACACACACACATATCTGATGAGTGGTGGTGTACCTGCACATGTGTGTCTGCAGAGTGTGTTGATGTCCAGATGTGTGGTCTGGTTGCTGATGGGATTGTTCAGCACACAGCTGTAGGTGTTTTTATCCTGATATTCCACCTCCAGAGGTAGAGAGAGACTGATGCTGAGATCACACACACTGATGCTGGACAATACACTCATTCCTGCGTACCAGGACAGAGTCGCATCACACACACTCAACACTGATGAACACACCACTGAACAATTTGAAGAAGATGATGATGATGAAGAGCAGTCTCTGATGATGACAGGAACAGGCAGATGAGCTGGAAAATATGAGAGAATTAACATAAATATATTTCATGACAACTCAAATTATAAAATAATGACACATTTCAGTCTTTAAATCATAAAGGAATATCCAGAGTTCAGTATTGCACAATTGCAAGTGACTAATCTATAAGCCCATCCCCTCGTACGCAGATCAGCCAATGGCAGTTGAGTATCAGTTGCACTTTAGCGCCATTGAGAAACATTAGAAGATCCAAAGCTCTCATTGGTTTTATGGTGTTTGTGCTACAAAAAAAAAAGGTAAAACACTGTGTGTGAGGTACTACTGTTATCCTGAGAAAATGTGCAGTGGAATTAATTTAATTTAGTTCAAAATCCTAAACCCAAACAAGACAGAGTAAAATATCTGGTGCATTAATCCACCGATGTGAGCGCAGAAAGTAACCTGGTTCCCTAAGGATTCAACCCCGATCCCATGCAATGAAGACGAAAAACTTTCATTTTCTGGTCATTCTCTCATTAAGTTTTAATAAAAGTTAGTCAGTCCATGCTAATATACAAGCCTAAACTGTTCTCATGTACAGACTGGTCTACAAACTGGTTAAAGGATAACTAACTAAACCGGTGGTTAGAGCCTGACTCCACCCACTGGCAATATTTGAAAAATGCTGGAAAAGTGGGCGGAGCCGAGCGGAGGGGGGCGTGCACCTGAGACACGTCTCTCTGTAGGCAAGGGTGTGGTCTTCCAACTGCAGTAGCCAGGTTCAACCTGAAGAGGGCAGCACGTTATACCCAAAAGTCCAAAAAAAATTACTTGAATCAATGAGTCTCACAGATCATCAACTTAAAGTTGTTTTAGGGTTTAGTTACCCTTTTAATGTAAATTAATATACATAACTCTGCGTACATGAACAGTGATGATCCCGGATGTTGTCATCTGTGATCTTGATGACCATAAGAGGCTCCCCCCGCTTGTATTGTGTTTTTTAAACCAACGCTTTCACACTAATTTTGTTACCTTTTATTTCAAAATCTTTTATATATCCCATCATAGCATATTTAACTCCCACCTGAATGCTCCTCGGCGAGTGGTGTTCCTTCTGTGTCCAAAAATTCATTAAAAACATCTTGTAACAAGGTTTTTACACTGAGAAGAACTGTTTGCTGTTAGCAACTCTGTGTGTTTGTTGGTTAACAGGGCTTACCGGCCAAATTCTGATCACCACAAAAATATATACATTTATAAAATTGCATTCAAGAAAAAAGAAAGCAAAAATCTAGGATATACAGAGAGACTCACAATGGCGGTGAATGGAGCCGGTCTGTAAACTTTAGATTACTGTTTCAACAGTTCAGCCACAAGACATAACACAATATGAGATTACATTACTTTACAAACACACACATCACTTACTAACCTTTTCTAGGTAAATTTATATATTTGACAAAGTTCTAAGTTTGTATATTTGACAAACAAAAACCATCAAATGGCTGTAAAAAATATTAGATTTAAACTGCTTTACAGCTCAAATAACATGTTTCAACAGAATAATTCATTTCTTGAAAATGGACACTACAACACTGGTCCAGAAGCACTTCCTGTTTCAGTTTTTTAACACTACATAAAAGCTGGGATAAAATACAACCAACAGAACATATAAAACTGAATCAAAAAGTTAAACAAACATCTTTAAGATGTTTTCTTTACATGTGAAATAAAGAAAACAGTTACAAACTGAAACAGGAAGTGCTTCTGGACCAGTGTTGTTTACATCTTGTGAAATGGTTTATAGCCACTTGGCCAGTGCGAACGCAAGCTGCAAAACTGAGTTAGAGTAGTTCTTAGAACTGTTTACAAGTGGACAGTTCTTATAACTAAGTTCCTGTAACTACTTGGTCGGAAAGCGGCTATTATAAGTGCCTCACCGTTTCCTCAATGTCTTTTTTTATACATTTTTTTTTTTAAAGTAAACGAAGGACAGTTTTTTTTTTTGGGGGGGGGGGGGTAATCAAACTTATTCAACAAATGCTGTTGATTAAGCTTAACATTCATTTATTAATGAATTCATTTTATTAATTAATTACTAATAATACAAGAATTATATGAACATTTTGACAAATTATGGCTCTACTCACCATAGACAGAAACATTGAATGTTTTTGATGACCATTTTGCTCCAATTATGACTAGTTGATAAACTCCAGTGTGTTCAGTTGTGGTGTTCATGATGGTCAGAGATCCAGTTTGATCGTCCAGCTTCAGTCTGTCTCTGAATCTCCCATCAGGAACATCATCATATGTGGAGAAGATTCGATTCTCTCTGTTGATTTTAGCTATCAGAGAGTTTTCAGCTCCATATTTCCACAGTATGTTGTCATCATCCTGTATTTCATTAACATCAGTGTGTAGAGTGACAGAATCTCCCTCCATCACTGACATCAACTGCACTTCATCTGTCAAAACAACAAAAATGTTTTCTTTACAAAAGTTTACACATCAGATTTAGACTCCTGGTGGTTTGCCAAGCTTCAATTTAGCAATTTGAAACTAAATATGAACTGCACTTTGACTACCGAATTACTTTTGCGGTTGTCCATGTTAATTTTTAAGAGATCTGGGTAAAATTTCCTTTTGTTTAGAAACTAAGTCCTTGAAATTAAGTAAATCCCCCCAAAAAATGATTTGTGGGGGTGAAATAGTAAAATTCCAATAAAAATACACACCTGTGCAAAATGTATGCAGTTAGCATTACCACAGGCAAAGTGATCAAAAAACTTAACTGAAAAAGACCATAAGGATGCACAAGGGTTAATTAGTTTCCCTGACTTTTCCAGGCATGAAAATAACGATGTAAAAATATCTTATTTTATCCAAAATAACAGCAAGTAAAGGTCTAATGTGATCTGTTGTATTAGTTTTTTGTTTTACTCTTCTCTGAAAGAGATATAGCCTATTAAACCAATAAAAGCATGTATAACTTACCCAACAGACACCACCAGCACAAACAGAACAAAACAAGCATGTGTGACATTTCCTTCACCCATTCAGTGTCTGGTCTAACTAGACTATCTGTTGCAAACACAATGTGTGAATCCTCCCACAACGGAGACCCTCCTACATGCATGTGCTCTGGAAGTGTGCAGTGTTTATTTGTCACGGTGTGTGTAGGCAGAGGAAGACAAAAGATTCAAAAATTCCACTTCAAATACTGTGCACTGTAAAAATGAATACGCTTTATCTAATTCTAATCAAAGGAATTGTGGCAACAGATTACAAGCAATATTATTATTTAAATTGAACAAATTAGAATTGAGTGATAATTGATCAAATTATTCCTTAAAAGTTACTCATTTATAATGAGTAAAGTTTACACCAAAAAAATTAACAAAAATATCTCACTAACAGACAGATGTCAAAAATGAATTAAGAACACTTTATTTTATATTGCCAACAGTGTTGTAGTCGAGACCACCTCACTCGAGTCCGAGTCGAAACAGAGACCAGAGAGAGTCGAGTCCGAGTCAAGACCGAGTCCATAGAGAGTCGAGTCCGAGACCAGAGACGGTCGAGTCCGAGTCGAGACCAGAGACCAGTGAGGGTTGATTACCTAATTTACTTTTATTTACTTAGAGAAATCCTTTATTTTTACTGAATTTACTTAGAGTTTAAAAAATATGATCAGTTTAGGGTGAAAAGGCCACATAGTAGGTGGTGTTAAAAGTAATTTTATTACAATTTGTCATGCGCAGTTGCGCACTAGAAAATCACCAATCACTGGGCGTGTCAATCAATTTAAAGAAATATTTTATTAACATACATTAATAATCATGAAAAACATTTTGAAGTGAACTCGAGTGGACTCGGGAATAAGTCCGAGTCCTAAAAAAAAAAAAATGTTCGAGTACGAGTCAATTCCGAGTCCAAATGCACACGAGTCCATGACAAGACCAAGACCATTAAAATATGGTCTCGAGACCGAGTCCGAGACGAGTCCGAGTCTCGAGTACTACAACACTGATTGCCAACATTGAAGACACCTGATGTTAACAAGCAGAATCACTGAAGGAGAAACCCGTCATTTTAAAACAAACACTGATCATCATAATGGTGACTTCAAATTATGTTTTTTTTTTGTTGTAAGTTTTACTCTTTTTAAATTGTTAGCTTTTAAGGAATTAATTTGATTAATTATTACTCAATTCTAATTTGTTCAATTTAATTAATAATATTGCTTGTAATTAGTTTCCACATTTTTTTGGATTACACTCTAAAAAAAGCTGGGTTGTTTTAACCCAATTTTGGGTAAAATATGGACAAACCCAGTCATTGGGTAAAAAATGTAATTTAAAAATGTAACCCAATGGCTGGGTTTGTCCATATTTTACAACAACCCAGCTTTTTTTAGAGTGTAGATAAAGCATATTTATTTTTACAGTGTGGTGGAGGGATGCTGCTAAACTATCAATGGAGGGAGGTGAGATTGCTGAATCTACACTCTAAAAAATGCTGGGTTGTTTTAACCCAATTTTGGGTCAAATATGGACAAACCTGAAATGTTGGGTTAAAAATGTAATGTAAAAATTTAACCCAACGGCTGGGTTAGTCCATATTTGACCCAAAGTTGGGTTAAAACAACCCAGCATTTTTTAGAGTGTATATAGGCCACACCTCTTATCACTGATTGCTGAGTGCGCTCCACTCATGTTAATGAACTGAACGTGCTCCTCTCGAACTTTGTTAGTAAAAACATCATTTACTGAGTTCAATTGAATTACCCATGTATCAGTTTTACGGAAGAACAATTAAAAAAAGGTCAAGTCGTCTGCCTTGCAGTGCCAGGTTTACAGAGGTGTGATTCTCGCAGCTCATCTGAGTCAGACTGAAACTGCTGCGGTCGCTTTTCTTCAGAGACACGCTTCGATCTGTTGGATGGACAAACATCTTGTATTGTGTCGTGTTCAGTTTGCAGGTGAAAAGCTTCTTCCAGTCCTGCTGTTAACCGCACAGTCTGACTTACTCTCAAGACCTTACACTATAATAAAGTACTGATAAAACTCAAATAAGAGTCCTCTTTTACTCTGCCTCCCTCTCCTGGTCATACTCGTTTTTACATCCTTACACTTTCTCGTTCACACATCTCCAGCCGTTTCTCATTATCTCATCTCTCCTCCCTCTTCTCCGCACCACTTTCTCTGATTCTACTCCCTGTTTCTAGGCTTACCTTTTCCTTTGTTCTTTGTCAGATTATTGTCAAATGCTGTGTATACCTGCTCTTGTCTTCCTGTCCTCTGCTTTATCCAATCTCAGCAAACGTGAGTTGTCTACGGTGTGGCTCTACAGATCTAGCCAGTAACACCGTCTGGAATTGCTGTTTCGGCTGAAGCAAAGAATTACTGTCACATTATCTAAGAGACTTTCTGTTACATTTGCCAAGAACTATTTTCTGTTGAAGTTTTGCCAAGCAGCCACCAGACCTTTCTCGATTTTCTTCGTTTTTAGTTGTTTTGTGGATTAAGGAAGTGGCATAAATCATTAGCTTTACAATGGATTGAAAAAAAGCAGCCGATGTGTACAGACTCACAATCAGCTCTGCAAAGTTTAGAGAGTGGAACATCTTTAACAAGATAAGATATTTTAAATGAAATATTTCAGAAGTTATATTCTACCATAAAACACTCAGGTGTAAGGGTGAGTTTTTTTTGTGGGTGCCACTCCATGAGTAAAGGGGAACAATGGAGCTGATAAGCTAGCAAATGAGTTGTTGAAAGATCCTGAGATCAAAATCAGAGTACAGATGAGTAAAGTGTAAATTAAGGGGCTGATGGGACTGCAGCCATTTTGGGACTGAAGTGAAAAAGAGGTAGCAGAGGATATGAGACAATGAAATAAGAGGAAGACATTTGTATTATATGAAGTAATGTGGGGATGGAAGGAACAAATATGAGGTGCCCCTAGGGACATTATTCAGAAATGCCATGCATATACATGTACCGCGTAGCGGCGTGCCAATGCCAACTGCAGGTCACTTATTGCCAACTGGGTTCGTATGGACTCCGCTGAGGCTAATATGGTGCTCAGCAAGCCCGCTGCCTCGGTTAATGTTCTTTGCTGTTGAGCAGACATTGCTGTTACGTAGCGCGATTGCGAGCGAACGAACGGTGCTTGTGAAAGGTGCGCGGCTGCCGCGTTTTTACTATGCTTTCTACAGCTTCTAGTTCTTCGTCTTGAGGTGCACTACTGCCACCAACTGGACTGGGGACTTCAACCACCTTCCGTTTCAACTGAAATGTGCTTCCGTTTCAACTGAAATTCTCTCTCACACACACTACTGAAATGCTTGCATACAACATACCGGAAATGCTCTCACACACACTACTGAAATGCTTGCATACAACATACTGAAATGCTCTCACACACACACACAACCGAAATGCTTTTCAGTTGTGTGAGCGAGAGCGTTTCAGTTGTGTTTGTAAAAGCATTTCACTTGTATGTGTGAGAGCGTTTCAGTTGTGTGTGAGAGAGCATTTCAGCTGTGTGTGAGAGAGGATTTCAGTTGTGTGTGTGTGTGAGCGTTTCAGTTGTGCGTGTGAGAGGATTTCAGTTGTGTGTGTGTGAGCGTTTCAGTTGTGTGTGTGAGAGCTTTTCAGTTGTGTGTGTGTGAGCATTTCAGTTGTGTGTGTGTGAGCGTAATATTTTCAGTTGTGTGTGTGTGAGGGTTTCACTTGTGTGTGAGAGAGCTTTTCAGTTGTGTGTGTGTGAGCGTTTCAGTTGTGTGTGTGAGCGTATATTTTTTACTTGTATGTATGAGAGCGTTTCAGTTGTGTGTGTAAAAGCATTTCACTTGTATGTGTGTGAACATTTCATTATAGTATGTGAATGAATTTGGTTTCATATGTGTATGTGAGAGGAAAAGTACATGTATATGCATGGCATTTCTGAATAATGTCCCTAGGGGCACCTCATAAAGGAGTAGTCAGATTTGTTCATTTTGATGAACGAGTTCGAACAGGAGAGTCACGAACGCGCATCACAGAACAGAGCAAGGCGAGTATTTGAGCTTATAAAACTTAAACTTTGTTATTTATTTATTAAATGAGCGATCGTTTCGCTTGATAAGACCCTTATTCATCATCTGGAATCATTTAAAGCCCTTTGAACAGTTTGCAGTTTGCACTGAAACTCTCTTTTGGACCTTGAACTGTTTGGTTCCCACTGAAGTCCATTATAAGGAGAAAAATGCTGGAATGTTTTCATCAAAAACCTTAATTTCTTTTCGACTGAAGAAAGAAAGACATGGACTTCTTGGATGACATGGGGGTGAGAAAATTATCATCAAAAGTTTTTTTTAAGTGAACTACTCCTTTAATACCAGGAAAAAGGATGTGATAAAAATCAATCATATATTCCTTGAATGTGTAGCATACAGTAGAGCAAGGCTTTAATTAATTCAGTCATTAAAGGATGGGGGTGTAAGAAATTATACACTTAAGGAATTATTCAAAGGAACAAATTATACAATACACAAGAAAGTTACTGGTACCAAAACTGGTAAATTAAATAATAGTTTGATAATTTTTAATTAAAATTAATTAATTAATTAATTAATTAATTAATTAGGTTTTTTTTCATCACCAAGTGTATTCTATCAAGTAGTGCTCTATATTCCAATCCAGTAGGTGACAGACACAATTATTTGCCAACCGCCATTTAAACAATAGAAGAAGAAGGAAGGAAGTGGCTGCTCCAAAACTGTTCTATCTAGGTTAGATGGGGTGCAGGCAAGGGCTTTGAGACTTTGCTGTGGGGCCGTTAGAACTTCCCCAGTTCCTGCACTTCTCATTGAAATGGGAGAAATGCCCTTATGGTTAAGACGTATTAAATTAGGGTTGCAGTACTGGGTAAAACTTAGTGGGTGTAATCATACCTTCCCAGCAAGGTGTCTGTTACAAGAGGTTGCTGGAGCTTATATATAATACATTTTTTGTCATAGTAAATCAGTGGGCAGGGAAGATGAGTATGGATCAAGGAGGTATTTTAGAGCACACAAGCTGGTTACCAATACCATATTGGATGTTGCCTGAAATTAATATTGAGTTGGGTTTTTTACAGGAAAAAGATAAGTGGAAAGTGGCACCAAAAATAGGGGAATATCTTAATTCAATTAGGCAGAGCACAATGATTATTTTTACAGATGGATCTCGAGATCCAGTTAGTGGGAGAGCTGGATTTGGGGTGTATGTGGAACAGTTAGGGTTGGAAATTAGTCGGCGTATTTCTAATGGATGTTCTGTTCTCACTGCTGAATTAATGGCAATTCTATGGGCTCTATGGTGGATTGAGGAAGTCAAACCTAGAGAAGTTATTATCTGCTCTGATTCTGTAGGTGCTCTAGATAATTTAAAAGTAGGAAAATCTAAATCTCGTCCTGACATTGTCAATGACATCCTGAATGTGGTTTTTAGTACTAGGTTTATTTGCAACATCAGTTTTTGCTGGGTCCCCGGGCATGCTGGGGTGAGTGGGAATGAACGAGTGGATAATATTGCAAAGGAGAGCTTAGGAAGAGAAGTAGATGTTCATTTATTATTAGGAAGAGTGGAATTAAGAGAAAAAATTAAAGAGAGTTTAATAAAAGAATGGCAGAGAGGGTGGGAAAAGGAAATTAGGGGTAGACATTACTTTTCTATACAACCTGAAGTTAGGAAAAGATGCTCATGTAACTTTTTGTCCCGCAGGGACTCAGTTAAAATGTGCAGATTGAGATTGGGGCACTGTGGGTTGAATTATTCTTTGCACATTGTAGGGAAGCATGTTTCTGGCTTGTGTGAATGTGGGAGTCTTGAGACTGTAGGGCATGTTTTCCTGGAATGCAGAAAGTATAGGGTTGAAAGAAATGTTCTCTTTAGTAAACTGTCAGGACATGGAGTTAAGGCTTTTTCTGTTTTATCTTTGTTTGGACACAGTGATGAGCATAAACTGATCTCCAAAGCAGTTCTTCAATTCCTGCATGACACAGGATTGTATGTAAGAATTTAGTACAAACTTTGACCCGTGGAGGGCAGTAATACGCTCAGCAGCGTCTACACTGCCGGAATCATATAAGAAGAAGAAGAAGGAAGTGGCTGGCTCCTCGCAGTTGTGCACATGGAAACATTTTGGTGCAACGGAAAATAAATCCAGTCGTGTTGAAGCCATATTGCTGAACAAAACTGGATCTACTAGTAGTACACTAACGGTAAACTATTGAAGAATTGATGGATGAAAGAGAATTGTTCTGTTTGAATGATGTTAGAGCAACCTGAATAAATAAATCAACAGGGAAGAAACAACGCATTTAGATTGTTTAAAAGAACACATACTATAAATCATTTAATTCAGTACAAGAAAGCTCATGCAGCGGTTAGAAGGACAATTCGATAAGCAAAGAGGACTAGTTTAAATTTGTGAGTGGCGGGACGGGAGACAGAAAGGCAGTGAGATTATTCAGTTGCTAAAGTCATTTGAAGAGGAAACAGCAGTTTCCAGCAAAGAGATAGTAGAAATCATGGCAAAATCATTTCTAAAGGTACATATTTCTGAAAAATTTGAAGGAGAAGATTGATTAAATTAGTCGGCATGACCATAAATAGGAAGGAAGATACTAAAAATGAATTAAACTAAACATTTATGCAACTTTGGCAGAGATTTAACAAGATTGTAAGGGTGGGAGGGAGAGCTAACTTTCGCGTTCGCGAGGCACACTCGCAAAGTCTCTCCCTCTGTACAGTGCGCGCGCTATTTATGTTATGCGCGCAATGTGTCTCGCTCTAGATTCCGGGAGATTTGAACTAATTTGCGGAGTCGGACATCAGGGAGACGCTATCAATATGCGGGAGACTTCCGGGAGACTTGGGATGTCTGCTAATATGTTGATTATAATGTATAATAATGCAATGGGGGAATATTTAGCCTATGGGTCCTGATAATGCCAAATGTCTGATGTTACCAGTAAAAAGTGGCTGACATTATTTTAAGTATTTCTAGTCAGTGAAAGCATGCAAGCATATTCTACAATAACTCAGTAATTTCAGCTTCAGAATCATGAATAATGTTATTCTGGAGTCACTGTAAGAGAGCCCAACAATACCCACTGGAGGTATCTTTATGTATGTGACTTTTTTTGGTGCTTGCAAGGGCATGGACAAGTCTGGGCATGTCTGAAGTGAGCTACTGTCAGATGGCAGTTCAGATACATAGGTGAAGAGACTGACTTGCTGCTATCTTACACTTTTGTGTTACTTCTGTGAGTGATTGATTAAAAAAGTGATCTGTTTTACATTCTATGCTGTTCAAGCTTTAATATTCTGTGTATTCAGTTACTGTTATCCGTGACATGTACTAGTTCAAATAGTAATTTGAAATATTATATTTCCGTGTGAATTGCATGTTAACCAAGTCCATGTAAAGTTGAATTGAAACTAGTTAGATACTGTTCAGTTGTTTATGTTCTGCAGTATAATTCAGAAACGTAAGCTAAATTATGTGTGCTATCTGTAATACTGTTTATACAAGCAAATTTATATTGTATTTTGTTTTCTGTTCATTTTAGACGACACATACCGATGATAAACCACCATTCCCAGACAGCAAACTGACATTGAATCAACGTGGAAACGACGTCTCTCATGACATTGAAACAACGTTGATTTTGCTCATCGAATTAACGTTGAACCAACGTCAGACGCGGCCTTCTTCAAAGCTAAATCGAAAATTGGTTTGCTTTCATAACGTTGAAACAACGTTGATTTCAAGTTGATTTTCAACGTTAATTCGATGAGCAAAACAATGTCAGATCAACGTTGTTTCGATGTCATGTTTCCACGTTGATTCAATGTCAGTTTGCTATCTGGGTTTCTACTAGTGCTTTACCGAACCCTTTGAGCATCCCACACGCTCGTTCAGTCACCGTAGAGTGCCGAAGTTACGACATCACTCTGTGGGCCAAAGCGCGGAAGTGAGTTAGCATTTTAGCACTCCTGGTTCCCTCGCTCTAAAGTCTATGGGATTTTTGAATGGGTTTTTGCTAAATCGCCTGAAATAAGATCTGTGGTGAACAAAGCCTCTAAATATTTTCACATTTTGATGTATGACATAAAACACAGTTATAACCTGCTTGTGGTTTTTTAAACTTTATTGTGTCAGCTTGTGTTTTTTATTTTTTATTTTTTTTATATAGGATTCAAAATGTATAAATTTTGGATTAACTAACTTGTAAAGATTATCTTGATAGACAAAACGTATAAGGGTCACAACTCTTTGTTAAACACAGATCCTATTTTTTTGCGATTTTCCCAAAGTCTATGGGGAAAATGCATTGCTTTTCGATCGAGGGAACCCATGCGCCGCTAACTTCCGAGTTGTCCTACAAAGTGACGTCATCAATTCGGCACTCTATTGTCCTTGGGTTACAAGCACCAAGTCCAAGCCTATTTATTTAAACCTACAATGTAATATCAAACTTTTCACTTTAATCAACAGTACATTTTTGTTCACCTTTTACCATATGTCTTGGAGTATCGCAATAATATTGTGTATAGTGAGTTCAGTCTCGTCATATGTATCGAATCGTGACATGAGGGTATCGTTACACCCCTAGTGGTTTAAAATGTAAACCTATTTTCTGATTCAGACTTTGGAGCAGAAGGTGCAGGAAATGCAACAATAAGCTGGACGCCAACCACCGTAAAATAGCAAGAAGAAGAAGTAGTAGTAGTAGTCATGGAAATGAAGCCCATAGCTCTAACTCTTTTAGTTATATATGGTAAGTCTTTAAGTGTTACAGTCTCTCTTCTGTGTTAATTTTGTAATAGCTATGATCACATTATATTTGTTAATGTATTTATTATTTGTATTTTGATCAGTGTGTTTCGAAAGTGAGATTAAATATCAATGCTAGATGTTTTGCTATAAATTACGGACGCGGCGTAATTGCTCAGTTATTTTGCTTTATTTCCAGATTCAATGATAGGCTCGTTCTTGCATAGAAGAGCACATTGGCACATGCTAACTCTTCATCATTCTCTAGACAAACTAAAAGACGTAAATGGCATTTTTTGTATTCTAAATAAAATATACAGATTGTACGGAATGTCAGCTTGATTATTTGGCTCAAAATAAGGATTTAATGAGTACACATGCCTTGCAAACATGAAATGATGGTTATGAAGTTAAAGGTACACGGTGTAATCTAATCTTTAGAGGCATCTAGTAGTGAGGTTGCAAATTGCAGCCAACTTAAGTTACGGTGGCCGACAGGAAACTATTTCATCATCTGAGATAACGGAGTAGCCATCAATGTGGTTTCTTTACAAAGATAAATTAAGAGATTGTTTAGTACATTATTCAATAAAATGATATGTTATTGTGAATATTATTGTCACTTGTTCATCATTGTGTCAGTGTTTTATTCGCTGACTTTAGCACGAAGAACAACATAGTGACACAAAACACATTTGTCTGTTTAGGGCCACTGTAGAAACATGGTGTCGCAAATTTGCTATTTTAATGCAAGTATGTAAATATAAATGGCTGATTCTAAGGTAATAAAACAAAGTTATGTATATGATATTGCAGTTCTGTCAACAGATCCTCTTAAATATTACACAATGCACTTTTAAGATCGTCCACAAGTCTCGTTTATAAAGTCCGATGAGTGAATGGATGATGATCTTCTGCTTTGTTTGCCTAAGTTATGAATCCAGACACACAATCTTTATTATGTATAATAATATATAATGGATTCTACATTTTCAAATCACTTTCCTGTAGTTTTTAGTTTAAATAACAATTCACTGTTCATTTCCTCTGCAGGTCTGTCTGGTGTTGATACAGATGCAGTGTCAGTGATGGAGGGAGATTCAGTCACTCTACACACTGGTGTTCAAACAAACCAGCAACAAGATATTAAATGGTATTTTAAAGACACTCGCATCGCTCAGATCAATGGAAATCTCAATAAGTCCTGTACAGATGTTCAGTGTAAAGATGGTGATGAGAGATTCAGAGACAGACTGAAGCTGGATAATCAGACTGGATCTCTGACCATCACAAACACCAGGACATCAGACTCTGGAGAATATAAACTATATATCAGCAGCAATAACATTGAAAAGATCTTCAGTGTTGCTGTTCATGGTGAGTCATTATGAGAGTTTATTTTCTTTACCTGTATATTTATTCTCACACAGAATGCAGATCATTGCTAAAAAAAATCTATTACAAGAATAAAAACAAAATTTAGCTACAAATTTGGTTCAGTGAATCATTATCAGCGATGATCTCAGTTTTGCAGTTGTGCTCTGGTAATACTGAGTTTCTTTTACAATCTCCGATGAGTTTCTCTTAGATAAATATTAAATAATTATGTAAAATGTTCATAATCATGAAAGTTGGAAAATCTTGCTGGTCAGATTTAAAATATTCATGTTCACAGCTCTCTCATGTTGTGTAGTTTGTTTTCAGCAAAAGCTCCTTCAATCATCTGTTGGTTTGTGTTTCAGGTGTTTCTGCTGCTGAACGAGATGCTGGGAAGAGAAAGACAGTGAAGGAGGGAGAATCCGTTACTTTAGATCCTGGAGAAGGAAGAAACCCAAGTGATGTGATGACGTGGTATTTTAATGACATTCTCATCGCTGAAATCAGTGGAGATCAGAGTCAGATCTGTACAGATGTTCAGTGTAAAGAGAGATTCAGAGACAGACTGAAGCTGGATCATCAGACTGGATCTCTGACCATCACACACACCACAAACACAGACTCTGGGGAATATAAACTGCAGATCAACAGCAGCTTCAGCACTCGTCGTCGTCGCCGCAGCATCACCATTGTGAAGAGCTTCAAGGTTGCTGTCATTGGTGAGGCTAATTCTATGTAATTCAATGCATTTTAAAATACACTTCAATGTTTTAAATCAATTCAAGAGAGCTTTTACACAATGTTATAATTTATTATAAGTAATGCATCCTACCTGCACCATTCTTTGATAGTATCAGTCTTGTTTCGTATCAATCACATTTGTGATTGGATGCAGAACTTCCTGCTTCAAATGCAATCAATACAACACTGATCTCTAGTAGTAATGATGACTTTCTGTCTCCAGCTGGTCCAGATTCAGGTCTCTCTGGAGGTGCTATAGGAGGAATAAGTGCTGCTGTTGTGGTAGTCGCTGTTCTGATGATCATTGCTGGAGCAATAATAAAAAGTGAGTATTATATATCTGATTTAACAAGACAGAAATATAAAATTAAGCATTTGAAGAATTCTTAAATTGCATTTTCATTCTAATTAAATAAAGTAATGTGTTTAATTGAGATTGTTGTTCAAACAGGCATCAGGGAAGAAGCACAGTGATCAGGTGCCGGTTGCACCAGCTGAATGTAAAAAAGGCGGGTCTAAGCTCTACACTGGACTTAGTCACATCCAGCTTTCCAATTAATATATACACCTGTTACACCATATAAAACTACGAGTAGGCACAGACATGTTTTACCGTGCTGATAGGGGAGATGCTGTTATCGTTACTATGGTTACACATTTATTTGCTGCGACGAATAGATGAAAAATGACTGCTGAGTCGGAAAAAAAGAAAATAAAATGACTCCGATTGAGCTATTCAGTAATTATTTACATATTTTGGTGTGCCAGCATTGGCATAAAATCGAAGAGAAATGAGCTCCTGCAGCGCTCCGTTCCCCTCCATTAAGTTTTGTCACTTCAGTGCGTAATTTTAACAATTCAACTCTGCTGAAATGAAAATGTTCAATAAGTTATCTATCTCTATAATGTATGCAGAGGATTGACGTGGTCTCTAATTACTCTTTCACGCTGGAAAGCCTACTGATTGTGCAGCCTTTATATCAGACGCGCCATTGCCATTAGTCCACCATGTAAACAACAAGATTTCTCACTTTATACCTACCTTTGACTAGGCGTAAGATACGCACTGATGGTGCAACAGGTATTAATTCTACGCAGGACTTAAAATGCATTTTGCGTTAAGTTCGGTCTTACATCCGCGTGTACGTCCAGCTGGTGCAACCGGCCCATGGAGATATACTTTTGAGCATGAACACTGAGTTTACAACAGACTGACGTATGAGAAGTTAACTTCATAAATATAATAACTGTCTATTTATGACTTTTTACTTTAGAATGAAGAACTGTGGTGTGAATATTTTTTTAATATTATTAAATTATAATTATTTAACATAGGATGCTATAACATTAATGCACCCTCTGAATAGTCCTTTTTTTAATCACTATGGAAGCACAACTTGGACAGTGTCAAAAAAAACCCCCCACAAATTAATAGCCAGATAAATGAAATGACACAAATATTTACATTTACAAAGCAGCCTTCTCCGGTGTCTATTTTTTTGTGTAACTAAAAGCATTAATCCTGATAATGAATCTGTATTTTCTTCCAGAAGAGTGGTGTTAAATACCTCCAGTCTCTGAATCTCCCGAGATAAGCCATTCGTACTCATGAGCCATTGTGCCGACACAGGAATGCCAAGTATCAGCATTTTTGTAGCCATATTTTGTTTTTAGATTGCGAGTATTATGCATATACTTAAAGGTATATTTCACCCCAAAATTAAATTAGCCAATGATTTACTCACCCTGAAGAAAACCCTAGGTGTGTATGAAATTCTTCTTTTAGACGAATACAATCAGAGTTATCTTAAAAAAAAATGTCCTGGCTCTTCCAAGCTTTATAATGGGTGTGAATGGGTATATTTTTTTTGGAAGTCCATCAAAGTCCATCCATCCATAATAAAAGTGCTCGAAACGGCTCTGGCGAGTTAAAGGATTAGTTATCCAAGATGTCCATGTCTTTCTTTCTTCAGTCGAAAATAAATTAAGGTTTTTGATGAAAACATTCCAGTATTTTCTCTACATAATGGACTTCAATGGGAACCAAACGCTTCAAGGTCCAAATGAGAGTTTCAGTGCAGCTTTAAACGACAATAGACGATGAATAAGGGTCTTATCTAGTGAAACGATCGCTCATTTCAAAAATAAATAAACTTAAAGTTTTATAAGCACAAATGCTCGCCTTGCTTTGTTCTGTGATGTGCGTTCGTGACTCACCTGTTCAAACTCTTTCATCAAAACGAACAAATCTCTCAACGAACGAAATGACTTGAAAAAAGACTCGTTTCATCAAAATGAAATTCGAACAGGAGAGTCACTTCTGTTTTAAAAAGAAAGTTTGAAGCGATGCTTTAATGTAAGGAAAATATCCATATTTAAAATTTTATCGACTAATATAACATCGCTTCCTGCAGACGCCTACGCCAAAATTGTAACACTTGAAACTAAAAAAAAAAAACCGGGCTGGGCAACCGTGTTCATCATTATGTCGTGCGTCAAGTTTGACTTGGTGTAATATTGCCTTCTGCTGAAAGATAGTTAGTTTAGTCAATAAAGTTTTAAATATGGATATTTTTCTTACAAGAACACACCGCTTCACTTTAAAAGGCCTTTATTAACCCACGGAGACGTGTGGAATTCCACAAATATATACCCATTCACTCCCATTATAAAGCTTGGAAGAGCCAGGACTTTTTTATATAACTCCGATTGTATTCGTCTGAAAGAGGAATGTCATATTCGTCTAGGACGGCTTCAGGGTGAGTAATTCATGGGCTAATTTTCATTTTTTGGTTGAACTATCCCTTTAAGTTATGCAATCAGTGCACTTTTATGTCTATTAATGCAGAACTCTTGTGTGTTTTTGTTGCTGTTGCTTATATCTGAACATTTATGTTTACGTGTTAAGTGTTGATTCTGCACACGAATGTAAGCCAGGTTCTATGCAACAAACATTTCGCTCACTGTTAGGGTTAAAATAAGTTGTCAACTTAAAGGTGCTCTAAGTGATGCCAAAAGATTTTTTGTCACGTACAGCAAACATCTCCTCACTATCCGCTAGATGCCTGTCCTCTGAACACACTGTAAAAAAACGTGGTCTCTGCAAACATCCCAGGCTTCAAAAACAAACTGGACTAACCCACACCACGAAACATAACAAACTGTTCCAGCCAATAACACACAAGAAGGATTTGAGGGGTTAGTGTGCGGATCAGGAGGGAGGGAGGATCTAGCTAGCTGTTTTGTCTTGACAATACTTCGAACGTCAACAAGTGACCTCACCTGACATCACGAGCACCTTTAATGCCTTATCTACACTGGCAGCTAGGTCGTTTCATGTGTCTAATGTGAAGAAAAAGCCAGCATATCGTTACTGCCTGTTACATTAGCATTACATCCAGTCGGTAATACTGTTAAAATCAAACTGTTGTTATTTTCACAATGAATTTGGTGCCACATAACTGAATAGTGTTAACCATTAGGGTGTCAGTAGGGCTGTTCTTTATAAAACATTCCAAAACCAAATGAAAATTTAACACAGTGTGCCAACTTCTGACCCATATCAATGTAGTTATAAACATAAAGTAAAACACTGTCTGCCAGACTATAAGCTGTAATCACTACTTTAAAAGATTAGTTAATTTCAGAATTAAAATTTCCTCATGATTTATTCACCCCCACGTTTCTTCAAAAAGTTAATTTCCTTAAGATTGAAGAAAAATGTGTAAATTATCAGAAAATGTATTCTAACATGAACAAATCTTTAATTAGCACTTTGAGTTTGAGAAACTACATTTCATTTGCAATGTGCCTATTATTATTATTCTTAATACACAGTGACCTAACTGGATTTATTAAAGGGAGCAATACTTGAGAATAAGGTTGATTATTATTATTATTTATTTATTTATTTTTTACAATAACCACCGTTCTTAATAGTATTGCTAGATGCAGGGTGACGTGTTAATTTCTCTTCCCCACACTGTCATTTTGGTTTTAAAACACTGACCGGATGAAAATAAACCCCCTGAAGCCTCCGTTAATAGAATCATCTACCTCAAGGATGCCAATTGCCTTGCCTAACATTTGCACATTTTATTGAACTACTGCCGGCGGGAATTATAATTACACTATAATCCTATAGTGTTCCTGGAATTGAATTACTCATACTGCCATAAAATAAGCTCATATGAGGTACGGTTATATATTACAAATGCTATCTTCCTTCCAATCAATACACAAACTCATTAACCGTTTTAGCAACTAATACTACTTTTGCACAAAGTCTAAGATCCTGGCTTATTACTGTTTACATCTCTTATGGCTCTTTTCCACTTCTAGTATGGCTCAGCACGGCTCGGCTCGCTTGGCTTTTCCACTGCGTGATACGGCACGGCACGGCTCGCTGTAGCTCGGTTTGCTTTTCTACTGTAGTTAGTACCGCTTCAAAGTGAAGCATGAAATGATCATTTCTCTCTATAGGCGCGTTCACTGGCCTACTGAAGATCGCGAGTCAGCATCGTCAACTTCATCTTAGCCGACAAAGAAAACACTTGAACAATTAAAAATATCTCCTTGCTATATTTTACATATTCATAATCATTACTTTTGCCGGTTCTTTGTGACCGCGCCACCCTTACATGTTACATGAGTCGCCACCGATTCAGCCATTTCATTTTTTGGAAGTTTTCAAGCAAGTAGTTTTAAAACAGGTGCTACAGCGGTGGCTGTTACTGGCTATTTAAATGTAGCAGGTTTGATGTCTCGCAAATATAGTGCCGAAGTTAAGACGTCACTTTGTAGGCCAAAAGGCGGACGTGAGTTAGCATTTTAGCACTCCCGGTTCCCTCGCCCTAAAGTATATGGGATTTTTGAATGGGTTTTTGCTAAATCGCCTGAAATAAGGTCTGTGGTGTACAAAGCCTCTAAATATTTTCACGTTTTGATGTATGACATAACACACCACATCTGCTTGTGGTTTTTTAAACTTTCTTGTGTCTGCTTGGGGTTTTTTAAACTTTATATAGGCTTCAAAATGAATACATTTTGGATTAACTTGTAAGGAGCATCTTGATAGACAAAACATATAAGGGTTACAACTCTTTGTTAAACACAGATCTTATTTTTTGCTTTTTTAAAAAAAAATTTTAAGTCTATGGGGAAAATGCATAGCTTTTCGATCGAGTTGTCCTACAAAATGACGTCATAACTTCGGCACTCTATACAATGACGCTGGTAGTGACGATTCAGTCTGACCAATCAGTGATCTGCAATGTGTTGACGTCACATTTAAGTATCGGTACGGTATGCTTGGAACCTCAACTGAGGTGGTACCATTTAAAGCGAGCCGTACTGTACCGTACCATACAGTGGAAAAGTGCCATTACATGAAATAAAATAACAACCTTTACTGATAGATCAAACTGACATTTCCCCCTTTTTTTCCATGATTCCTGTGCTTCATGTTGGATCTCCGCTCTCGATAGTGCAATAAGAAGCCTTGTATAAAACTATCCAACTCGCAAAAGCAATAAGGAGGATTTGAAACCTCAGCAACTAGTATATCTTTTACTCGACCCATAATCTAAATTAGATTTGACTAAACAAACATACATTTATGACACTATTAGATATTAAATCTCTACTATTAATAGACCAATCTTTAAAAATGAATCCTGCTTATAAAAACAACATCGGCATCACTACCTCATTAAATGCCTGGTGACATGGCCTACAGCCTATAACTATCAAATCATATCCTACTATAGCCTTTTATTAACCAAAATCTGAACAAAATAAACAATAACCTGACGACTTGACTTAAACACTCACCCACAATGGTTACAGGAAACACTAAGACTAGACTAAAGATAAAATATATAAACTTGAATAAAACATACGTGTTTCCTAAACTAGCATTACTATTTATCTACACTTGCCATCGCCAAATCTATAGCTTCTCTCAACTGGCCATTACAATACTTAACTCGCATTAACACAGATATGCTGGCTGTTGGACTTCTGATAGATACATGTGCACAGACTGACTGAATCACATATGCTGTTATTCCTTATGCTGTTTTTGTGTGCAATATTCCAATGCCTTCCGCAAATAAGCAAATTTTGCCGTCCAAGCTTGCCTTTTAACATGTTTACTTTAATATATCTGCGTGTGTGACGGTAATACAAATGCTATGTGCAATACACTGTGAATTTGAATGTGTTATTTAATTTGTACCTGCACGTACTTTGCACATTTTTTTGTTTGTACTTTGCACAATAAATTTGGTGTCATTCATTTCATGCATGCGAGGTGGCAGATGTAGACCTAGATGAACATTAACATTCTCCTCTTTTGTAATTAAATTAATATTTTTGAGGAGATATGTGAACATATCAAAAATCAGGGTTTTAAAAAAAAAAAAGTCATCGTGGTGCTGATTGCCTTTAAGAAACTAAACTGTGCCTTTTGTTCAGACTGTTTCTTTGTCTTTATTCATTTGTTTTTAATTAAGAGTTGAAAGATTGTATGTTCATGTGATGGATGTAATTAAAGATCTGATGAACTCATAAGGGCTGGAGTCTGTTCATTTTTTTGTCATCATTTTAGAGTTTGTTCATCAGGAAAATGCTAAACTAACTCTAAATCATGTGAAGAATTATCATGTGTCTCTATACAATCAACACTGAGGAACTTGCAGTATATGATCTTGGACATTTTAGGATTCAACCCTTGACCTTTTCTCAAACTAAC